CAGAAGGGTATCTCTCTGGGACCCTAGGCTGGGCAGGAAGGGGGGGGCTTGCTGCTGCTTTGACAGCTTTGTGGTACACCACTCAGGAACTACAATGATGAGACGATGTATGAAGAAATAGTGATGGCATTTCACTCCTGCAGTAGACATTTACATGAATTTTAAAAGAAAATTCTCATCTTTGTACTGCAGATGCAGAGGTTCACTCCAGGTTCCTGTGTATGACATTCTTGGTAACATCTGTACACACAGCATGGTACCCAGCTCTCTGTCCACATCCCGGCTGGCTGATCTTCACCCACACACAATGCTAAAATCAGTAGCCTTTCAGCTTTTAGATTCTGGGTCCCTTGACAAAAGTTCCTTTCTGCAAGCACTGGTTGATGTCACTGTTATGTGTGATGCCTACATAAACAGCCCCCAAAGTGACTGTCAATGTTCTGTATGTCTTGAATCTTGCAGAGAGTTTTCACAGCATGGTGTTTTACACTTTCTACTGGGAAAATGGTGTCCATTCCTAAGAGACTAAGGGGGCAGTTCCACCAGCTGTCTCTCCTTGCACCATGCACACAGCAATGGAGTTGGTGAATATAGGAGATCTGAGAAGCACCTTACCCTAATCACTCATCTTCTGGCGGGACAGAGAGGAACTGCCCTTGTGAGGAAGTTCTTTAAGCTGCCCAGACAGTGTTCCACCACTGTAAGGGGTATGGTTAAGAAGCTGGGTGTTCTCAGAATCAGAACACATTTTTCTTCTCTAGATCCCCTCAATCCATGCACTTGGGATCCTGCCTTTGGCCCTACTTCTGTCTCTGTCAGAAGAAGCCTCTTCCATGAAGATCTGAAAACAAGGAGTTTTGGTAAACAAAAGACCAACTGTGAACCTGTAAATGAACACCCCTTCCCATTGGCCTGAGCAAAGAAGCATTACTTATATGCCTCTCTTCCACCTAGGGTGTCTGTACTCAAGAGGTGGCCCTGCCCTAGGTCCCTGCAGGTGATATTAGGTGCAGTCCTCATTCTATCTCCAGTGATATTCCTGGTATTTTCTCCAGTTTCCACAACATCAGGCTTTGGAATGTTCAAGGATTGGCCTCAAAAGCCTAGCCTTCCCCTGCTTGCAATGGACATAACGGAGCAGCAACAGCTGCAGCCACTACAGGGGCAGAGAAGAAAGGACATGAGCAGGCCAGGAGCCAGCTTTGTGGTAAAACTGATCAGTATACATGGAATAGTTTGCCCAAAAGAGCTATCAGGTGGTAGAGAAATCCATGTCCTTGTTAACAATATTTAAGGGTGTTTGTGTATTTCTGCTTGCAGGAAATGTGGCAAATCACTCTAGGACACCCATAGGAAAGGCCACACAGTCAGATCAGGGGACTTTATCTGTTTTCCCATTGACAATTCCCTGCACCCCCCACCACACAATAGTTGTTTCCAGCACCTTCTCTGGATCTTGTCAAAAGCCAGTCCATAGGTGAGCTTCACCTTGCACATGGCTGGGTACCCTCGGACAAAGTAAGGTAGAATGATCATAGTGGCTACCATGGTCCTAGGAAGCAGTAGAGCAGGTAGTTAATATTTCAGGAGGAAGTCGAGACAAGAGAAAAGAGATTAGGAGAAATGTTTCCAGAAATGAGTCACTCAAAATACAAAATTACCTTGTTTAGAATGTGGATTCTCTCCAATTTAACAAAAAAAAAAGTTCATTACCATCAACTCTGCATGAAATACAAAAGGAGGGGTCTCTCTTTCATCTTCTCTATCTTCTTTTACTTCCTCTACTCTCTCTTTCATCTCTTTTTTCTCTGTGACACACACAAACACATACACATATACACAGAAACACAGACATCCTCTTTTTCTATGTGTGTAATTTTATTTCCAACAAGATTAAAAAGTAACCATCAAATGACTCAAGTGTGAATGCAACTTACACAGAGACTAGAACTCTAGATGTGCAAAGCTCTTTTGAGCTCTCATTGTGAATGTGCAGTAGTCAGGATACTGTGGTGGCCTGGTGCAGATCTGTAGGACTGAGCTATTTCTGTCCACTTTGTATTTAATTCTGGACTGGCAAATGTACACTTGAGACTCCTCAGTTCTGTTGCTGCCTCTAAATTGATCACATATATCTCTTGGAAACATGCAACATGTCAGGTTCTGTCTGGGTTCCTTCCTCTGCCTCCAGGACTACTGTCTCCTCAGATCACAGGTATGCCTGTAGACAGGCAGCTGGGTTGACATGCTCATTGTCCATGAACCTTCTCGAAAGTCTGCTGTTTCTTCTCTGATTCTTTGGTAATCGCCATCACTGTGAGGATCTTATATCCAGGGGCTTCTGAGTCCTGTGTGTTGGAATCCACAGGGCCAAGGTTATTCTATTACTGCTGCCCAGCATGGACCTCCCTATAGGGCATGAACAGAATGAACCTTAGGTCAGAACTTCTTCCAAGAATCTTCCCCAAGTCCTCAGGGAAAAACAGTGTTTTGCCTCTAGCTTCATCCTATGATCTGTACAGAGCATGCCACAGGCACACAGCTACCCAAAATCCCTACCTGGTTCTCTTCTCTCCTGCTCCTATCTGTATTTTCAGCAACCTGCTCTCCATGCTCTGGTATCATCCTACAGGGACCACTGTGCCTCCAAGAGCACTTGAAACAGCCACAAGGAGGGGGCCTCTTAGTAGAAATCTGCAGGACTCAATCTTGGCTGAGCTGGTCCTGTGCTGCCGAGGGCCCTCAGGCTGATTCCTCTGAAGTGCTCTCTTGCTCCCTTCACCACCCTTCTCAGCACCCTTGCCCAGCCTTGGAACACTATCCATTGCTGTTTTCTTGTAGTCCAACTTTGAAGGACTCCGCTTAGGGTAGATGATAGGATGGGATTTTTTCTCTAAGTCAATAGCTACATGGTCACCAAAACTGTGAGCAAGGATGCTAGCAACTTGATAAGGGAAATAAAGGGACAGTATTCACAGTACACAGTAAGCACAGACTTTTCCACCTATGTTCTAGTTCCTCAACAGTTACTTGGAGATTTGTTATTAATTTAAAGTGCTTAGGCCATAATGTAGGCTTGTTTCCTGACTAACTTGTAACTTAGTTAACCTATTTAAACTATACTATGTCTGCCATATGGCAAGTTATCTCTCCTTGATTTCATATGTCCAACTTCCTTGAAGTTTGTTCAGGGAAAATCTCCCACGCCTGACTCTCTCCTGCAGTTCCAATCTCTCTACTGGAACTTTCACCTTCTACTTCCTGCCCTTTGCTGAGAAGCCAACCATATTTAATTGACACGTGATGCCTTCACACAATATATAAGAGATTATCCCTAGAGCATACTATAAAGAAACCTACTTGGTTGCCATTAGTTTGCTCTTACCCAAGCATGGTGTTCTCATTTGAACCGGGAGGCACCAACACAAGCTGGACAAATCTTAGGCAATTCTGTTCAGGCACTTGCAGCACCATTGTCTTCGTGGGACTCTGGGCACACCCTGGCACTGCCATCAGATATGCTACAGAGGGTTCCTCTGGATCGTGGGCTATTGTCTTCTGATGCTCAGGACTTGTGCTCTCACCCTGAGCTTCTTCAGTGGAATCCTATAGAAAGCCAAAAGTGTTCTTACCATAAACGCAGGAGATGCAACATTTCCAAGCGCATGTGAGTGAAGGAACCTGTGGAGACCACAGGTCTTGGATACATGGAGCTGAAACTATAACAATTGTGAGTCACCCTGTGTGGGTGACAGGAATTGAACTTTCATCCACTGATCAGAAGAAAAGGCTCTTAAGCAGTCTTTCCAACTCCACACACTCCAGATTGCTATAACTGTGGATGGGATGCTAATTTGTGCCTTGTAGTTTTCTCTGCTATTGCCTCAATCTGTGGTGAGTGTGGAACAAGTACTCACAATTAAAGAAAGATCCAACTGTATCAATTAAATGTCATTCTTGAGTTTTCTAATGTCAGAAGATGATAGACAACAGTTTCTGGTTATGGGCTGACTTACAATTTCCTCACGTCCCTAATAGAAAAATACTGTCCACGGAATGTAGCTTATTCTTTAAATAGAGCTCATATTTACCCAGAGTAGAATTTAGGAATGAAGGAGCTGAACGATCTCCTGTTTCAGCATCTTCATGATTATTTTTGATCACATAGTTAAAAAATGATTGTGAAGGGAAAAACGAATTTTATGTGACTCCTAGTTATCCATTTTTTACATTTTGTATTATACATTTCTGCATCTTTGTACTTATGTACAGATATAATCTCAGTCCTTATCACAGACTGGCATAGAATTTTTCTATGTAAACCTCAATTAGTGGCATAAAAAATTTTGGCATTTAATGTCAAAGAGTGAATCTCGATCTTTATCTCTACCTCTATAAAAAGCAACTTCAAATGGATTGAAAAACTTAAAGAAGACCTGATATGCTGAAAGTGCTACTGGAAAAGTAGAAGAAACTCACCAAGGGAGAGACATAGCTTAGCATTTGTGAACTGAACTGAATTTGTCCAGAAAATATGGCTAACCATTGATGATTGAGTTGTCCTAAATGCCACCATGTGAGACATTATCAAAGAATTAAAAAATTGCTTGTGTGTGAAATGAAAACCGTTGCACATTGCTGGCAAAGCAATACACTGATACAACCATCATAAGACACAGTGTGGAGATTCCTCAAAATTTGAAAGCATGTCTTTCCTGGGATGCAGGCATTGCAACATTGGTACATGTAGAATGTCCAAATGTAAAAGAGATTTCTGTACTGACTCATGTAGCAGAGAACTGTTCATGACAGCCAAACTATGGAGTTCACCAGTGTGCAGAGAACTGATACAGCACAATACATAATGCCTACCACCACCAAAAAGGGACCTACCAGGTGATGAATGCTGGCTGCTCCTCCACAGGAGTGTGTAGGAAGAAGAGGACAGAGACCTAATGCACAGGCTGAAGACCACAGTGTATCATGCAGAATTAGTGGGAGATGATGCATTTAGAAGATAGACATGCTGACTGGTTCCAGTTTCAGGACATTCAAATAGATATAAATCAATATACCACAACACGTGGTTCAAACACACACACACACACACACACACACACACACACAAAGTGTATTGTATCAAGAAAGTAGTCTTTCTATGCCATACATTTTTTTGTCCACGTTCCAGCATGTGACGCTCTTAGTAACCCTTGTGTCTGGCAAATCTTAAGCCCAGCTCTTGTGGATATCCTCAATGACTGATATTCCCTCGGACACCCATTACCTAAAACCAGAAAGCCTTCACTTTTCAATACCTTGGACTTTTCTTTTTTTTCTTTTTTTTTTTTTTAAAGATTTATTTATTTATTATATATGAATACACTGTAGCTGTCTTCAGACACACCAGAAGAGGGCATCAGATCTCATTACAGATGGTTGTGAGCCACCATGTGGTTGCTGGGATTTGAACTCAGGACCTCTGGAAGTGCAGTCAGTGCTCTTAACCACTGAGCCATCTCTCCAGCCCCCTACCTTGGACTTTTCTATGAGCCATCTTTTTGGGTTCACTTCTGCAGGTATTGGTTAATCTCACTGATTTAGAAGGAACTCAATGTTCCTTCTAAACTCTGCCAGTGTTCTATATTGTTTGGGTCTTGCAAATAACACTAGTCCTGAGACTTCTTCCTGGCAAAGTGGTTTCCATCCCTAGGTGACTGAGGGGGGCAGTCACATCAGCCAACTCTCCTTGCCCCATATACACAGCAGTGAAGTTGGTGAATGGAGGGGACAGGAGATGCACCTTACCCTGATCACTTGACTCCTGCCAGGAAAGAGGAACTTCCCCTTCCCTGCCAGTGAGGAAGTTCCCCAGGCTGCTTCCTATAGTTTTCTTGCACAACAAAGAATCATGGTAAGGTGTTGCGTAGTCCTGAGATCAGAACAGGTTTTTTGCTATTCTTCTCCCCAGTCCATCTGGATGATAATGCTTCCTCTGTCTCTGGTGCCCGATCTGCAAATCAGCAGGAGACACTTCCATCATTGAGATGAGAAGTCAAGGAGTTTGGGTAAGATTATGAATTATTAGGCAATCACACCTTCCCCATGGCTTGAGAAAGGAAGCTTAACCTGTGTGGCCGTCCTCCTTCCAGTGTGTTAGGGCTTGACGGGCATCTCATGCTCTATACATCATGAAGATAAAGCTGTTTTCAGGTTTTGTACCTTGTTCAGTGTGTTGCCAGGAGTCCTTTTGTAGCCACAGCACAGGGTCATACAGCCAGTAAAGGCACTAGACATACTGCCTGGGGACATAGTGCTGCAATAACAGCAACAACCCTATAAGGTATCAGAAAGAAGAGAGCTTTGACCTTGTGAGATACTGTTGAAAATAAGAAAAGCAGTGTATATTAGAGTGTGGGGATAAGGAGGACTAGGAATCTGACCACTTAATTCCATAGGTTTTCTTAGGTGGTTTTGTGACAGGAGACCATAAACAACCCAAAAGAAAGCCCTCTCTATCAGACCAAAGGGTCTTAGTTGTTTTTCCATCAACCGGTTCTTATCCATGATCATGACTGGAAACAGCTCCAGCTCTGGCTTCAACTATCAAACATTGCAGACTTCACCTTGGCTGCACTTAGAACACAGTTGGTGGGCTTCACCTTGCATGCTCTCAGATGCCTAGGTGTAGTGTGCACCATAGCATGTGCTTGCTTCGCAAGGCTCCTATGAAGGAATAGAGGAGGTGTTAATGTTTCAGATGAGGGGTGTAGAAAAGAGAAACAGATTATGAGGGATGCCAAGAGTCACAGGAAGTATCATGTTACTTTGCTTTGAATGCAGATTCTCTCCATTTCAAGCAAATTTCACTAGCATCAACAGTGCCAAAGGCACGTGTAGAGAGGCGTGTGTGCCTGCCTTCCTGTGTGTGTGTGTGTGTGTGTGTGTGTGTTCCTGTCTGTCCAGATATAGAGTACAGAAAAGTGCATGCAGGTGAATCAGATTGTACTGCAACAGGCAGGCTCACCAATAACAACTCACCAAATGGGGTGAGTTGTGAAGGTTTCTGAAACTTGATGGGCTCAGAGCAAGCTGACTAGCAAACAAGGATGGTTTTGAGAGCTGCACCATATGCAATGGGCCCCCCTTCATGTACACTGTACCTTCACTTATGAACACTGGATGGAAATTCACTGCAATCTCATTGCTCCCTTTCTGGCTCCAATCCGGTCACCAGTATTCATCTTGGACACAAACACAAAGAGGTCAGGCACTCTGGGGTCTCTGCTTCCAGTGCCCTCTGTCTCTTCTAATGGCTGAGAGGTACATCTGGAGACAGGCAGCTGATGATCTCTACAAGCATGGCAGTTCTTCTGAGGCCTGTTTTCCTGATGATGACCTGCATGCTATGATACCTTGTTTATAGGATTTCAAAGTTCCATGGAGCACCTCACTTGGCTGGTGCAATTGAGGAACCACCAACCATCAAGAACCAACCTAGAGGGCAGAGTCAGGACAACCATGAGCTCAGAACTTACTTCCAGAATCCTTGCTCAGTCTTCAATTCTTCAATTCAATTCAGGGGATCTGAGAAGGGTGTCACACCACCGAGACACACTCTATTAGTCTGCAGACAGAGAAAGAGTTTGCCATTAGTTTCAGACTCTGATGTAGACATGACTTCCCACTGGCACCCAACCATTCCTACCTGGCTCTCTCCCGCACCTGTCCGCATCCTCAGCTAGCTGCGGTTCACTCTCTGGTATCATCTTTCAGAGAGCACTGTGTCTCTAAGTACTCTTTTAAGCAGACATAAGAATGGGAACTCTTAGGAGAACTCTTCAGGTCTTATGCTTGGCTTTGCTGACCCTGTGTGACCATGGGCCCTCAGGATGTTTCCTCCCAAGTGCTCCACTGATCCCTTCATCCGCCCTTCTCCAACACCCTGGCCAGGCTCTAGACACTGTCTCTGCTCTCTACATATGGTTAACTTACCCACAAAGGATACTGTGGGATTGGATTGCTGGTGTGATATAATGTTATCACCAACCCCTAAAAAGTATATTCTTATAACCCATTGATTTCAAAGCATATCAATTAGTCCAGGAATCAGATCAGTGACTTGCTGCCAAGGCTGGAAACCTTAATCCATTCCCCAGGACAGATACAGGATAAAGACAGAACTGACAGCGGCTAGTTAACCTCCATGCACATACAGTAAATAAATATTTTGTTTCTTTAAAGGAGTGACATTATTTAAAATATAAAGGCCTAGAGCTAGAAATGCATTGTATCCTCTCTACTTACCTGTTCCCATGGCTGCCTCCACAGCTTTTTTAACTCACAGGTCTCTGTTGTTGGCTACGTGCACTCTCTTTTGGATTGGCAGGTGTGAGGCGCGCCCACCTCGCCAGCAAGGAAGACACGGCACCACACCAGGATCCTTCCGCAGCAAACCTTTATTCCAATGTAAAGAGAAAGACCCCAGGCCTGGAAAAGGCACTGTTTATATACCCTTAGAGGGGCGTGTTCATTTCTGATTGGCTGCTTACTTGTTGCCTGCCAAAACGCCCTGGGATGGGCTATGACCCCGGCGTGCCTTTACCATAGCACATCAGCACAAGCAGCGGCTTCCTACATCTCCCCCTTTTTTGTTTTATTGCAGAGGGTGGTAGTTGAGATCCCTGGGAAGGTTTCGTAACTCCCATATTTGGGGGTCTCACGGCGGGTCTGAGTCTCTTTAGAGGGCGGTGCTCAAACTCTTACCCGTCACGGGGTCAGCCTCCCCACCCGCGGCTGCCCTGTCTTAGGTGGCCGAGACTTATCCGTCCACTCCGTTATTGACTTACCAGACCTTCTATCCGTGGAACGAACACCTTAGTGGGCAGGGACTGTGTATAGAAATGTTTGAGGCTTTACCGGGTGTCTTTATCAGAAGCCCCTGGGTACAGTGGCTGAGGAATCTGTCTACTGGCTATTTCTTTTTTGTTTTGTTAAACAGGCACTGGTCAATGTCCCGTGTCTTAGGCTAGTTGACATTTCTCCACAGCCAGCACCAAAGAATGGTGAGCTCTCTGTCTAGGCTACGAGGGTCGCGCACCCACACCTGGCATTCTCAGAATGTGCACCCCAGGTTGTGGCCACTCGTAATGCCTGTTACTGGGTAGACTCACCACTCGTGGTGTATCTCTGGCATATGGGATCAACTTATTCCCGTCGTTGGGACCAATTGGCAGCTGGCCTGGAGACAAAAGGATGGAGCTGTCTATCTGGCTATTCTTGGCCTGTCTAGCGTGGTACCAGTCATGACTCAAACTCAAGCCCGATCAAGCAAATTCCATCTTGGGGGAATAAGCGATCAAGGACTAATAGTTTAAGACAGTCTCCCTTACCCTATCAGGTGCAATGGAAGCAAGTCCTCTGAGTGCAAGGGCTAAGGGGAACAGAAAGAGATGCAAACACCCATCCCTGTGCAATGGAGTCATCTCCTAGGGGTACAAGGGCTGTTTGTCTCAAAATTCAGGTACCACAGCTACACAGACAAGAATCAGCCAGGCCAAGACTCCTCACCGACCCAGTACAATGGGCAAATCCTTTGGGGTGTAACGCTGATGGCCTAACATTTAGCACCACCACTCGTGAGGGGGAGACTGCTTATATTTGAGGCAGTGATAACCACACTGCCGGGGAAGCCCCTATTTCTATGGCTACAAGCGTCTGGGCAATAATAGCCTTGTCAAGATTTTGTTAAGCTCTGAGTTTGCAAACCAACCAAAACATGAACACTAATCCGCAACATAGGGCTTACCAAACAGGCCTACTCCCACCCACTTAAAAAAAAAAAAGAAAAAGAAAGCTGAAGAGATCCAGGAGGAGAGTCTCTCAGTCAGGGACAGATCAACGAGTGTCGAGTTGATGTCCACCACAGCCAATTTTCTGACCAATTTCCTGCAAGATATTGAAACAATTTCTTGGACAGATTAGCTACATTATGTCTGACAGGTATGGGTTTTGGAAAGGCAGATAATATGGTCCATCATTGTTCCCCTGATATACTAGGAACCTGTATCCCTTGGATCAGCACGAGGGCTGTCATCAGAGTTTGGAGGGTCTGTCTGGGTGTCACCTTCCAATATCGCGAGTCGCCGCGTCAACCGCTCTGGTAGCCAAAACGGGTTGTCTTCTTCCTGTGGGAACACACAAACCGCTCCCCTGGCTCTTAATAAAACAGTATCTGGGCCCTTCCATTGTCCGGTCAAAATGTCCTTCCATTTGACCATCTCTTTCGGCCTGTCAGGCTCTAAACAGTGACGGTCAGCAGTATCTATCAACCTTTTAAAACCCTTTTTCCTTTAATTATTAATTTAAGGTTAGATCTCTTGTAATGTTTTTAATCTTGGCCTATATCCTGAGGCCTAGCCCAAGGATTATCCTTCTTGTACCAAGGACAAGTTTTAGTCAAGTAACCTTGGTCACCTGACTGTTGCTCAAACCTCTGTTCCTGGACAGTCACTTTAAAAACTATCTAAATTTTTACATTTAAAACACCCCCCATCCCTATGGCTCTGTGCAAGCTATGGCCAGACCCTGATTGTATGAGGGTGCAATTTCATCGCAAAGACGAATGTATCTAAGTCTGTCTTTGCTTGTATAGTCTGAGAGCTGTGTAGGCAGTTTAACTAAATTTTAAAATTTTCTTTGTAACATTAGAGTATAACCATTAATTTTGAGAAGCAAAAGCAAAACCAATTTAAACAATCTATTTTCTCTAAAATCAAGACCAAATAAATTACCTTTATGTTACAAAGTTTTGTTGCCAATTCTTATACATGAGTGCATGAAGCAGCCTTTAATCTCATTGAAGAGATACTGTTTTAAAATCTTACTTTTTATACATCTGGTTCCTGAATGACTCCAACCCTGAGTTAGTTTTGTGCCAACTTTCTGTTACCAAAGTTGCAAATTTCCAATCACACCCAATAATTTAAGCCAACAGTCCACAACCAAGACATGTAGAACATTTTTATACTTTTAAAACCAATCAGAAACAACAATGAAGTGGCTACATATCTTATATACTTAGACCAACCAAAATTTGTTGCTTTTTCTAGCTGTAATTTCAAGAGAAAAGCACCTTGCCACAGAGATTTTTCTAAAACAAAACAACTCTTAGCTTCTTTATAAAACCCAAAAAGCTTCTGGTCTCTTTTAAAAGCAGCTTATGTCAACAATCAACTCCTGGAAAGGCCTTTTCAGCTCAGCTCAACTCTTAGCTACAGGTGTAGGGTAGCTTATCAGCCTCTGCTGTGTAAATTAAGACTGCTCAGAGAGAGGACACCTGTATTTCTAAAACCCTTTCTCTCTCTCTCATATTCAAGATGTAACTTTTCATTTTATTCATTGGAGATGTAGCAGGCAGCTATTTTAACACCTCAGTACCCTGTTTTTTTTTCTTAGTTTTCCAATTCTTCCTAACCCTGCTCTTCCCACCTGAAGCAGCTCTTTCCTCTTCAGAGGAAGTTAGCTCCTCCGACTCAGAGACACCAAGCCCCGAGGCCTCTAGCTCCTTTACCGGATGAAGAGGTTTCTTTTCTGGGGCCTTTTCTCCTTTCCTACGTCCCTCTCCCAGGGACCTCTTTCCCTCATCTTTCGCTTCCTCGGACTGTGTGTCTTTGGAAGGGTCTGTTTTCCCAGGCATGCCTTCTTTTCCTTTTTCTTTCTGAGCTCCCTTTTTTTTCTGAGCTCCGAAGCGCTTATGCTGCTCTGTTTCTGACATGTGGCCCTGTAATTCGTCTAGCACTCCCTGGCCCACTGCTACAGTGGAGCAGCTTTTCTCATCCTGCAAAACCAGAAGGAAGAGAACGAGCACCACCTGGGGAGGGAGACGAAATAGACCAAGGCCAAACATATCTCTCAGAGCTTTACCTTGCCCTGCGGTTCTGAATCCTTCCGGTAAACAGGGGTCTCCTCGGCGCCGGTGATGGTGAATTTTTCCCGGGTTTCGGCACCACTTGTGAGGCGCGCCCACCTCGCCAGCAAGGAAGACACGGCACCACACCAGGATCCTTCCGCAGCAAACCTTTATTCCAATGTAAAGAGGAAGACCCCAGGCCTGGAAAAGGCACTGTTTATATACCCTTAGAGGGGCGTGTTCATTTCTGATTGGCTGCTTACTCGTTGCTTCTGATTGGCTGCTTACTTGTTGCCTGCCAAAACGCCCTGGGATGGGCTATGACCTTACCATAGCACATTAGCACAAGCAGCGGCAGCTTCCTACAGGCAG